GCCAAAAAAGAAAACCTCTGTTACTGCAATGAGAATTGGTAGCAAGAAATGCATTTAACGGTCATGGAGTTGTCATGTCACAATGGAAAAATACTAATGGTTCTAAAAATATTTGGTTCTAAAAAAATACTACCATTCAAGTTTGAGGTCAGTATGAGTTTTTAATGTTTTTGAGTAAAGTCTCTTCTGTTTACCACGGCTGCATTTATCTGATCAAAAATACAGTAAAAACAGTATTGTTGTAAAATATTATTACAATTTAAAGTAACTTTTTTTATTTTAATATATTTAAAAAATAATAATTCCTGTGATCCAAAGCTGAATTTTCAGCATCATTACTCCAGTCTTCGGTACCACATGATCCTTCAGAAATCATTCTAATATTTAGTGCTAAAGAAACATTTCTTATTATTATCAATGTTAATATTTTTGTGGAAACATTCCTTTCAGAATTCTTTGATGAAAATTTGTTTTGTTTTTTTTTTAAAGCATTTATAAATCAATCTTTTGGTCAATTTAATGTTTTCTTGCTGGATAAATGTTTTGTTTTGTTTTTAATTATTGACCCCAAACGTTTGAACAGTAGTGCAATTTTTATTTTGATTTACATTTTATTTTGTTTAAAAAAAAAACAGAATGACATTTAAACTTACACACATTATTTAAACTATTATAAAAAAAATGATATCACCAAAAAAGAAAAAAAGGTGCAACAGACATTAATGTACACTTGCACTGATTAAAAATTGCAGGTGTGTACCAAAACATCCGCGAGGTGTACCAAACCAAATATACAAATAAATCTATCTGCACTGTGCAACAAAATAAACAAAGGAACAACAGTGGCTGCGAGGTGAACAATTTTTAAATACTTTCATGAAGCTTGTGGGGGAACAAAGGCAGATGCATGGCATATTTCAGTAATTCCTGAACAGGAATGCTGTCTTCTTGAGGAAATCACTCAACATGTTATCTGAACAACTGCCTGTCAGATGACCAAGGACACTCATGCCACTATACATAAAGAAGATATAATGTGAAAAACATGTCTTTAGAGTCATAAATGGGGTGTGATGGCTGTCTGTGTCTTTTAAAAGAGCAATAAAGAAAAAAAATATATGTTTTTAACCACGTAGTGAAGCAACCTTATCTCTAGAAGTGAAAGATAGGGGAAGGTCTACTGTTTACTACATGATAGGCCTTCACTATCACAGGCCCCCACTGCATATCAGCTACAAAAAGTGTCACCAGTGACAAGCGTCTTTACCCCGGGCCGAGCGACTGAATGGCACGTAGGCGGAATTACACTGAGATCCAGCTCTTGCGTTTACGACCACTGCCTGCTCAATCTACTCCTAACTAGCACTAAGTTAATGCCACAGAATCATCTCAAGCCCTGGACAGTTCACCATTTCCTCTTGAGTATGCCAACAAGTTGATATATTGTGTACAACTTGCAACGCTGGAACCGAAAGTCGAGCATCTAAGAGGAAGCCGAGCAGTGACACTTCTCAACTGAAACTGTGTCACCAGATATGCACTGTCGCTTTTCAATCGAGAAAGCATTTTATAGTTATTGCCATTTCTGGCACGCTTGTGACATCCGGAAACAAACAAGAAACATTTTTGTCTGAATGTTTGTTTTTAGGGTTCTGACAGATTTTTATAGCAGTACATATTAACCATATCTTTTCAAAATACAACCTCACGTCACTTTGAAAACAACTTGTCTTATAGGCTACACATTTCAAAAATGTGGGGTCAGCATATTTTTACTTTTTATATGCATTTAAAAAAAATTAATTAATAGCTTTTTCAGCAAGCATGCATTAAATTGATCAAAAGTGACAACACATTTACAATGTTAAAATGTTTCAAATAAAAGCTTTTTTTACTTTCCATTTCTGATAGCACAACTGTTTTCACCATTGATTAAAAAAAAAATGTTTCCTGAGCTGCAAATCAGCATTTTAGAATGATTTCTGAAGGATCATTGCAATTTTTATTTTGATTTACATTTTATTTTGTTTAAAAAAAAAACAGAATGACATTTAAACTTACACACATTATTTAAACTATTATAAAAAAAATGATATCACCAAAAAAGAAAAAAAGGTGCAACAGACATTAATGTACACTTGCACTGATTAAAAATTGCAGGTGTGTACCAAAACATCCGCGAGGTGTACCAAACCAAATATACAAATAAATCTATCTGCACTGTGCAACAAAATAAACAAAGGAACAACAGTGGCTGCGAGGTGAACAATTTTTAAATACTTTCATGAAGCTTGTGGGGGAACAAAGGCAGATGCATGGCATATTTCAGTAATTCCTGAACAGGAATGCTGTCTTCTTGAGGAAATCACTCAACATGTTATCTGAACAACTGCCTGTCAGATGACCAAGGACACTCATGCCACTATACATAAAGAAGATATAATGTGAAAAACATGTCTTTAGAGTCATAAATGGGGTGTGATGGCTGTCTGTGTCTTTTAAAAGAGCAATAAAGAAAAAAAATATATGTTTTTAACCACGTAGTGAAGCAACCTTATCTCTAGAAGTGAAAGATAGGGGAAGGTCTACTGTTTACTACATGATAGGCCTTCACTATCACAGGCCCCCACTGCATATCAGCTACAAAAAGTGTCACCAGTGACAAGCGTCTTTACCCCGGGCCGAGCGACTGAATGGCACGTAGGCGGAATTACACTGAGATCCAGCTCTTGCGTTTACGACCACTGCCTGCTCAATCTACTCCTAACTAGCACTAAGTTAATGCCACAGAATCATCTCAAGCCCTGGACAGTTCACCATTTCCTCTTGAGTATGCCAACAAGTTGATATATTGTGTACAACTTGCAACGCTGGAACCGAAAGTCGAGCATCTAAGAGGAAGCCGAGCAGTGACACTTCTCAACTGAAACTGTGTCACCAGATATGCACTGTCGCTTTTCAATCGAGAAAGCATTTTATAGTTATTGCCATTTCTGGCACGCTTGTGACATCCGGAAACAAACAAGAAACATTTTTGTCTGAATGTTTGTTTTTAGGGTTCTGACAGATTTTTATAGCAGTACATATTAACCATATCTTTTCAAAATACAACCTCACGTCACTTTGAAAACAACTTGTCTTATAGGCTACACATTTCAAAAATGTGGGGTCAGCATATTTTTACTTTTTATATGCATTTAAAAAAAATTAATTAATAGCTTTTTCAGCAAGCATGCATTAAATTGATCAAAAGTGACAACACATTTACAATGTTAAAATGTTTCAAATAAAAGCTTTTTTTACTTTCCATTTCTGATAGCACAACTGTTTTCACCATTGATTAAAAAAAAAATGTTTCCTGAGCTGCAAATCAGCATTTTAGAATGATTTCTGAAGGATCATGTGACACTGAAGACTGGAGTAATGATGCTGAAAACTTTAAAATATATTCAAATAGAAAGCAGTTATTTTAAATTGTAATAATATTTCACAATATTGCGGTTTACCGTATTTTGATCAAATAAATGCAGCCTTGGTGACCATAAGAGACTTTTTTCAAGAACATTTTACGGACCCCAAACTTTTGAACAGTAGTGTATATTAAACTAAATAACCGACTTCATTACCAACAAATAAAATTCATACATAACTAATAAACTTTGGTGGAAATGTAAACAACTTCATAAGAGCATCACAAGATATGGCACCTCACCTCACCAGTCAAAAGGTCTAGACAAGTCATCAAATTAGTTTTTAGATTTCATCTTATTTTAATAGCAGGATGCAACTATTACGAAAATGAACAGGGCTGCGTTTGCCAAAAGCATCGTAAGCTTAAGTTGATCGTAAAAAGGATCTCACAAATCATCTTAGACTTGCGGACCATAGTATAATATTAATCTATAAGTACAATATTAATCTACTATATAATATATATTATTATATATGGTAGATTAATATTATATTATATCCGAGCTGTCTGGAACGCAGCATTAGGTTAACAGTTCAATAAACGAGCGTGTACTACAATTACGGGCCATTCTATAAATTGACATTTCAGCACTTGACAAACGGATAGCGACTCCTAAGTAGCACTTAAAGCATGGCTACGTGCGATTGTGTTAAGTGCTTTTTCTGGAAACGCACGTGAGACAATAACGAACGTTCGTAAAATGACTCGTAGAAAACGCTCTTAAGCGTTAAGATCAATTGTTATCGAGAAACGCAGCCCAGAGCTGGAAACCAGATTATATGAGGTTGGTTTAACATTTCTGTGCACTAAGTATCTCACATAATTCAATTGTTTTAATGTAAAAAAAAAAAAAGGAGTGGGTGTGTCCAAACTTTTAACTGGTAGTGAAATGGCAAGAAATGTCACAATCCTAGTAATGAGAACAACCAAACATCCATCACGTCGCTGCATTCCTCACAAAACAACCACAGCAGGCATGCACAGAGAGCTGCACATTAATGCTACGAACGCTGCATGGAAAATTACCAAGATGAAGCAGTAAATGACTATTAACCTGTTGAATATAATTCAAAGTGCATGCTACATTTCTGTTCATCTACATTTGTTGACATTTTTCCCATTAAATATTCCAATTAATATCAAACAATCTTACCTGAGCCTGTGTGTATGCTTTAAAAAAAAAAAAAACATTGTCTGGAGCTAAACTAAATCAAGACAAAAGAAGAGTAGGGTTCCCACACCTTTAGACCAAATTCCTTGATTACTGGTTAAAGTTTTATTAAATTTTTTTTTTATTATTATTTATAGAGATAACACTTGCACAGACCAAATTCTAGTTAATTAAATATTGAGTGTACCTCAAAAAATCCACTATATAATCATTCAAATGAGTTTTCTACGCCTAGAAACTTGTTTTTAAAATCCCTTGACGTTTCCAGGCCTTCCATGACCGTGGGAACCCTGCATGAGAGTGAACGTTCAAGCAGTCAGACCCCTTAAATCATTCAGATCACCAGTGGCACCTCACCTGTCGTCCTCCCCATCAATGGGAATGGGTATACCGAAAAGACTGTTGACAGCCGGACTGGGCAACTGCAGGCCTTCTGTGATTAAGGGCTTCACCATGTCTTTACTGTGAACCTGAGCAGACGCATCAGACATCCTCCGACTCTCATCCGTCTGGCTGAAGACGCTGGTGCCCATTCCCGCTGCCGTCCCATTGCGGGGAACCTGGGACGCCTGGCTGTGTGCGGAGGTATTGAGTGATCCTACTGCGAGCGTCACCGGTGCTACAGGCAAGCTCTGAGTGCTTTGCAGAGTTGTCGATAAACCATGCATTACTCCTGAGGCCTGGTATTGTGCCACCGGTTGCTGCTGCTGAATGGAGGGTATAGGGGCGATGCTGCTCAACAGCCCCACCACAGGATGCTGCGCCAGATTTGGGACAGGCGACACCAGTGCGCTCCCTAAGGGAACACCTCCAGGGAGTCCAGACATTTCTAGTGTACCCAGAACCTGCACCCCTCCTGTGGCCGGGGTCGGAAGAGGGGACAACCCCTGACTGACGACATGTCCGACGGAAAGGCTCAACCCAGGGAGAGTCTGGGTGACTGTAATGGGCATGCTGCGCTGGCCGTAATCAGGCTGACTGGTTGATATCAGAGCCGGCTGGCTTTGCAGTTGGTGCGTAATAGGCTGGGGTTGATAAAGCAGCGGCTGCACTTGAGGAGAAGGAGGGATGCTGGGAGATTTCTGAAGGTGGGCACCCGGGTGTCCTCCCTCGTGAGCGGGTGGATGGAGACTGTGCTGAGCAGACGGAGGCACTGGCTTATTATTACTAAAGGACTCAGGTGACCCGGACCCCAGGGCCACGTTGAAGCTGTGCGATTCTAGATTATGAGGCGGACTGGTGAAACACGACCCGTCTGAATTTACATCAGGAGACATTACGGAGCCGACGGTGGCCCCGAGCCCACTGTCTCTATCCGCTCCGGGCTCGGTCACATTGGTGTGCCTTATACTATCCACAGTCCTGCTCATCCCAGAGCCCTCGGGGTCTTTCTCGTAATACTCCATACAGGTCCACCGGCCCCTCCTGAAGGGCTCTCCGGTGCCGTGATCAAGCTTAATGACCCTGAAGCGAGAACTGCAGCTGGTTATAGTCGTCGCGCTTGATGAACTAGTGACTTGCGCTGTTTGAGTCCCAGAGGCCTGGATGCCCTGGTGGTGACCCAAGTTGCGCGGGCCAAACCCGCCGTTCTGGGGAGTCTGTCCCTCTGAATCCCCCACATTATTCAAAGTCTCCTCTGAGGAGCTCCTGTCACATACCTCAGTCCTGGACCTGTCAAATATCTCGGAGGACACGTCCTCTGTCCGGGACTCATCCGGGTCATCCAGGCTCTCGGTGTCGTCGGTCGCGTTGTTGGCCGCGACTTGAGCCTGAGTCACACTCGTGATCTGAAAGCAACTCTTCTTCTTGGCCGGCATCCTAGACATGCTTAACAGCTTTTTGAGACACCTTAAAGACGCCGCTGACTTGACAAAACAGCAAACAGTTGCCCCAAATTTCACAGTTTTCCGCGACGATCGTGCGTCATCCGTCTTCCTCTTCTCTCCTGTTGCATTTTCGACGCGCGCGCGGCGGACGAAAACAACCTCCGCGAGCCGTGTGTGCGAGATGACGTGTCGGTTATTAATTTATCCTCATATGCTGGTGATCAGAGCTCGGTAAGGGCGGTGTGTGTAAGGCCGCTGTCGTAGATTCGGCTGCGTTCACTCCCCCTGCTGCCTCTCACTTCTCTACCTAACGTTACATATGAGTATCAAACACATCCGGAACGAGCGCGTTTAAACGCCGCCTAATATGTCACGACACTCGGCGACTAGATGCCGGCGTACTAACAAAACAATCACGAAAACAGTTTGAAATTAAAGTTTATAGCTAACTATAACTAGCAGACTTCGGAAACAGAAAATCGAAAAATTTCACCTCCCGACAAGATGGCTATGTAAATTCGCGATGCATGCTGGGAAACGAGCGCAACAGGCATGGCGCGTAAATAGGATGGTGAATACGGATCCTACGTTCAAACAAGTGCAGTGGCGTAAGTTCCTTTACATTTACATTTAGTCATTTAGCAGACGCTTTTATCCAAAGCGACTTACAAATGAGGACAATAGAAGCAGTCAAAACTAACAAAAGAGCAACAATATATAAGTGCAAATGACAAGTCTCGGTTAGCCTAACGCAGTACACGTAGCAAGGTGTATATATATATATATATTATACAAACACATACACACACACACAAAGAAAAACAAGTAGATAGAATAGAAAAAATAGAATAGAAAAATATAAATACATTTTTTTAATAAAAAAAGAAGATAAATGTAGATAAAGTAGAATTAAAATAGAATAGAATAGATTTATTTGAGTTAGAGGGTCAAATAAAGGTGGAACAGATGTGTTTTTAGTCGTTTCTTGAAGATGGCTAAGGACTCAGCTACTCGGATTGTAGATACAGTAGATTCCTACTCAATTGATTGATTCCTTTACCCTTTCGTTTTCAATGTGCGCATATTAAAACGCGAAAATAACGGCCGTAATGCCAAATCTCATTATGAAACGTGTTGGTTTAGCGCTACGCAAAAGATGTGAGTATAAACAAAATGATTGAGGAGGCCAGGGCTACTTGTCGCATTAAAAAATAAAATAAAAAAATAATTCACTTGTAGGCTACTGTAAATATTAGTCAGAGTAATTTATTTTCGAAAGTCCGTTTAAGTCTTGTCTACATAAAAGCTTTCAAAGGTTTACACAATTATTGTCTACGCAAAAAATAATAAACATCACTATATGGGGTAAGTTAAATCACAATAGGAACTTGCCATTAAATATATTATTTAGCCGATCAGGAAAACAATTTTGTTACCTTTTTATGTTACCTTTTTTATGTTACATTTTTCTATCTATCTATCTATCTATCTATCTATCTATCTATCTGTTGTCTGTCTGTCTGTCTGTCTGTCTATCTATCTATCTATCTATCTGTCTGTCTGTCTGTCTGTCTGTCTGTCTATCTATCTATCTATCTGTCTGTCTGTCTGTCTGTCTGTCTGTCTATCTATCTGTCTGTCTGTCTGTCTGTCTGTCTGTTCGTCTATCTGTCTGTCTGTCTGTCTATCTGTCTGTCTGTCTGTCTATCTATCTAAGTACTATTTTAGCCAACAGAAACTGTATAAAAAAATAAAGAAACTGTAACCTAATACAACATATAAAACATTTTATGGAAAACAGCTTTTAACAGTTGCAGCTTTGCTGTTAAAATCTAGGTTTTTTTTTCTTGCCTGAATATATTCATATGTTTTTTTCCCATAAGCTATTGCTGAAATATAATGATATTTTGGACAGAATTCACAATAAATAAATAAATCAGATTTAAGAGAGAACAGTGAAATCAACATATAAAATCACCGTTGGAGAAAATAGGCATTTGTGCAATTGGTTTTTTATTTTTTTTACTTAAAATAAAAAATAAAAAAACTCTATAGTTACTGAGATTAAAACTTTGTGACAACTTATCTGTGTGACTGCAGTTGCAAAGTGTTGTTCAGTTCTTCCGAGAAATACACATATCATACTTTATATTCATCTGAAGTACTTCCTCTCTAGCTGCCATCGTCCAGTGTTGTTATCATATTGATACATTTATTTCATTTTATATTTTATTATTTTTGGCTATTATAGTGCAGTGGCATTGTGCAGAATATCAACTATGACCAGTAGGGGGAGTAATTGCATTCTGCACACACTGACTTCTGATTTCACTTCATCGCTTAAACATTCTGGAATCATCTGTTGGCTGTATTTTATCATTCTTTTTGGTCCGAATGATCCTAATGTATAATAATTGCTTTTACATGTACATGTCACGTGTAATATAGAAATAACGCGCAGTAAATTCACGACCATTAACCTACTTTGAGGAAAAGCAGGAAGTGGTTTAGTTCAACAGTGAGGAGCCTCCCATCTTGTGGATTTTTTTTTCAAAGATTTATTGCATATCCAGTTCGTAAAGCTCCGCTTCTATCACATTTTAGAAAATGTGTTATGTGCATTATATCCTTATTCTTCAACTATAATCTTGTGCCTAAAAGCAGCTAAAATGTTACTACTTTTTATCATAAGTTGTCTGTTGGATTTAGAGGAGTTACACGGTCAGGTGATTACAATAATGTTCCTTGGCTTTCTCGAAAAAGTCAGTTGAGATAACAGGACTGTAGGCAATGGGTGTGCCTCCCAAATGATTGGCTTGTAAATATTAAAAATCCAATATTTTACACGGGTCCTACTTCTTGCCTTATCTTTCCGCAGACGTTTTCCTCTTTTGTTTTTTTATCCGCCATCTCTATCTTTCTGTCGCTCGGCTCGGCTAATGTCCATCCCATGCACTGAAAGCTCTCTCCTCCACATCACGAGTAGACACGCCCCTTATTGCTGATTGGCTACAAGTTTGTTTTGCTATTCGGCCCGAATCAGTTTTCTAAAGTGTTTTTGAAAAATCACATACCCTGCCTTTAATATGTCATGGTTTTCTTGTCATCGCTTGCCACATAATGACATCGGATATGAGTGGTGTGGCTGCAGAAGTTGTATGTCTCTGTGAAATAAAATAAAAAACGTGAGGTAGAAAAATTTAACTTTTAGGTTTTCATTTCATTTGTTAGATGTTAAATTATAAAATGTGTCATCTGAAACAGCAGATTCTCTTGATTAATTTGATATATAACATTTACTTATTCACAAAAATGGGAATTTAGCTGACCTGATGGGCAGGATTGTTGAACTGCTTTCTTTATGGACTAACAAAGATTTCACAAAATATGGCAGTGATTATAGGCTGACATTTGACTCAGTTGTGACTAATACACACACAAACTATCTGTTGTTTTTAAATTTGTTAGCCCATGTTTTATGTATTGTTCAGTAAGTTAGATGTTTTAAAAGTAAAATGTTTCCTTTTTTTACTTTTTAGATTATAATGCTTATGATAAAATGGGCTGGAGTTGGGGGAAGACTGCAGGGCAAAATTATTTTAGCATGATTAAAAAAATAAGTAACTTTATTAACAAAATAAATTAATGTACAATACAAACTGATATTCATGTTTTAGTGTTACACATGGGTTACACTGTGGTTTGTGTGTGTACAGTTTGAAGCCGCCTCTCAGATAACATCGGGGCCCCTTCATCGCTGGCCCCCTGAAAGCATGATATTTAACATTTGCCTATAAAAACAAATATAGGCAAATGTGTATCAATTTTGACCCATATCTGGGGTATTAAACCAAAAATGGCATGTCGTCACAAACTTTATTTCTTCTGTGGAACTTAAATGAAGATATTTTGAGGAATGTCTCAGTATTTTTTTTTTAGTGTCCATACATCAATCATTCATATAGCATACTATTATAGTTTTTATTAATATTTTTTGTTAGTTTTTATATGTGACCCTGGACCACAAATCCTGTCATAAGTAGCACAGGTATATTTGTAGCAATAGCATACATTGTATGGGTCAAAATTATAGATTTTTATTTTATGCCAAAAATAATTAGGATATTAAGTAAAGATCATGTTCCATGAAGATATTTTGTAAATTTTCTACCGTAAATATATTAAAACTTAATTTTTGATTAGTAATATGCATTGCTAAGAACTTCATTTGGACAACTTTAAAGGCGATTTTCTCAATATTTTGATTTTTTTGCACCCTCAGATTCCAGGTTTTCAAATAGTTGTATCTCAGCCAAATATTGTCCTATCCTAACAAACCATACATCAATGGAAAGCTTATTTTATATTTAAATGTTTCAGATGTTTGATGTTTAAATCTCAATATTATAAAATTGAACCTCAAGACTGGTTTTGTGGTCCAGGGTCACATATGTTCCATTTTCATTTTAGTTTTATTTAAGTTTTCATTATTTACTGGTAGGCCTATATTTTTTTCCATTTTCATTAGTTGTCTTTTTAATATGCCTATATAATTTTTTTCCGTTTTAGCTTTTGTCATTATAGTAGGCTACATCAAGCTAAACTGAATGAAAATGAGAAATGTTGTTGTGACAAATAGATGAACAAAAATATGTTTTTTAAATATATATTTTATTTGAGTTAACATGTATTTCGTTTCAAGTAACGAAAATGCATTTAGTTGTAATAATAACCCAAGTGAAGTCTGTAACCAAAATTGTTTGGTTACCAACATAGTACCAATAAATATCGTTATTTGTGTGTCATACAGGTTTGGAGAACATGAGGGTGAGTAAATGATGACCGATTTTTATTTTATTTTTTTGGATAAACTATCCCTTTAATTGTGACTTTCCTGAAATAACACTTAATGTGGAAAAATATAACAAAAGGTAACAAATTCATGAGCTATAACGAGGAAAAAATAAGCCAATTTCCACATTTTACCTTAAAAACTAAGTGTTGTTAAAGTAATTACATCTTGATAATGAGATCGAGCTGGCGCTTTGACATCAGAGGGACTATTTTCTTCCAGCGTCGCAGTGGCGGCGGTGAGTCGTCTGCGCGGAGGGATATAGCACGGGACTACACCCAGGCGCTGTCTCAGTCCGTCGGCTTTCTTTCCTTCCAGAGCTGAGATTTCACACAAGCCAGCGAGCCAGACAGCACAGGAGACGCCAAAACCCTCCTTCCGCACAACCCTCGCTAGACCTTTAGCACTTGTAGCGTTAAATCCACTCCAGTGGGTGTAGTTCGTCCTTTATATCCTTTCAAATCACAGAAAAATGTCTTGGCAAAGCTACGTGGAGAACCTGATGGCCGATGGCAGCTGCCAGGATGTCGCCATTGTTGGCTTTACGGACGCCAAATACGTTTGGGCATCGTCAGAGGGTGGTACTTTTAGCGGTATAACGGTAAGATTTTGCTAGATTAGCACCCGTTGTGCGGTTAACGCTTCGTTTTAATTGAATTCGGGGTGTAATTTGTGTGTTGGGGCGAGCGGAGAGATTCGGGTGTTAGCAGGCTAGTCAGCTTTAGCACGCGTGCACGGGGAGCCGGTCTCGTGCATAGCGCGAGCTAACCATTTCAAGCATATATCTTACAATAAAATGAACACTCGTTAGCGTGTTTAGCATTAGCAAAGCTGCGACTCATATTTTTCCCATAAAAGCGAAAGGACGGAGTGAATGTTAGTGTTTCTGCTGAATGGATCGAGGCCCAGATGAAGGCACAGGGCTGTGGCCACGGCCTCCAGACTTCATTACTTCTATCACAATGAACCATATTATGCTTATCTAACGACCCTAGTTAAAGTGCAACCGCTGTATAGCCGAACCCGCATAGCAAGTTTTCTTTAGGTTTCGACGACTTTCATTGGATGTAAACGGGTCTGGCTCTGATTAAATCACACATTTCCCCTTTTGCATTATTCAGCAATATCGATTTCTGCCATATCTATCTACGCATTGTTTTTATATTTTACCGGACAGCACAGGAGACGCCAAAACCCTCCATCCGCACAACCCTCGCTAGACCTTTAGCACGTGTAGCGTTAAATCCACTCCAGTGGGTGTAGTTTGTCCTATACATCCTTTCAAATCACAGAAAAATGTCTTGGCAAAGCTACGTGGATAATCTGATGGACGATGGCAGCTGCCAGGATGCCGCCATTGTTGGCTACACGGACGCCAAATACGTTTGGGCATCGTCAGAGGGTGGTACTTTTAGCGGTATAACGGTAAGATTTTGCTAGATTAGCACCAGTTGTGCGGTTAACGCTTCGTTTTCATTGAATTCGGGGTGTAATTTGTGTGTTAGGGCGAGCGGAGGGATTCGGGTGTTAGCAAGCTAGTCAGCTTTAGCACGCGTGCACGGGGAGCCGGTCTCGTGCATAGCGCGAGCTAACCATTTCAAGCATATATCTTACAATAAAATTAACACTCGTTAGCGTGTTTAGCATTAGCAAAGCTGCGACGGTACAGCCGAGCCTCATATTTTTCCCATAAAAGCGAAAGGACGGAGTGAATGTTAGTGTTTCTGCTGAATGGATCGAGGCCCAGATGAAGGCACAGGGCTGTGGCCACGGCCTCCAGACTTCATTACTTCTATCACAATGAACCATATTATGCTTATCTAACGACCCTAGTTAAAGTGCAACCGCTGTATAGCCGAACCCGCATAGCAAGTTTTCTTTAGGTTTCGACGACTTTCATTGGATGTAAACGGGTCTGGCTCTGATTAAATCACACATTTCCTTTTGCATTATTCAGCAATATCGATTTCTGCCATATCTACGCATTGTTTTTATATTTTATTAGTGCTTCAAATGCACAGATGCCCTCTCTAGATTATTAATAAGCCCGGGATTGTTCCAGAGATCGGACTCGGTCTGATCAGTCTTGAGATAAGCTGCAGTCTTAGGCCACGAGAGGAGGAAGTTCAGACAGTGGCGCCTGTGCTTCAAGTTTTTCCCTACAGGAACACAAAGATGGCGTCCTGTCGCGTGTGAATGCTTACTCTTTCCCGCATCTCACTGTTAGTATTAGAACATGTCGAGCTGTTTGTGCTGTCACGGTAAAAAAAAGTGGTTCAACCTCAATTGCAATTATTTTGAATACTCCCGGAGTGGGTCATATTGGTTGCACTCATGCAATGCTAATGCATGCAAATAATCCTTTCAGGTTTTCAACAAGTCTAATTTTATACAGCTTGTGTAACCTGCATGATACTAAATCTTACTTAAAGATGTGAATATTAAAATAAGTGTCTTTTTTTTAATGCTTACTTTTTCAGCCTGATGAAATCGATGTCATTGTCGGCAAAGACCGAGAGGGCTTCTTCACCAGTGGGCTGACTATAGGGAAAAAGAAGTGCTCTGTGATCAGAGACAGCCTTCATGTGGAAGGGGACTGGACAATGGACATCAGGACAAAGAGTCATAATGGAGAACCGACATACAATGTTTCCATAGGCAGAGCTGGCAAAGGTAAACTATACGTGTGAAATGTTTAATATATTCCAGATCACTCACAAGCACATTATTATTTTATAGATTAATTTAATTAGGGATCTGAGTCTGCTCGGAACACGTATTAGTATAGATTAGCCTGGGGCGACCCTGGGAAACGTCTAACTCCTTACGATTTTCTAATTTTTATTTCACCAGTGAAGTGTCTTTTCATAGTTAATTTAGGAAAATGACCCTTAATGCTAAGATGTGCCCACTCATACAGTCTGCCTTTGTGGTCCTCTTTTTGAATATAAGGATAATCAGACATGGAAGGTATAGTTTTAAGCCAGTGCAATCTTCTGTCCCCCACTCCTCCTCTCTGGAAAACACCCAAGAGCTGGATTTCAGCGCTGTGCATGTACAAGCTTTTCTTGGTCTAACAGTTTTCTTAAACCGCGTGTGAGATTTCCCTTCACCTTATCACTGTTTAATGAATTGGGGTCTGGGCTATCAATCTTTCGCTTGTGCGGAAATCAACCCATCACACCCTATTATCTATGTTAGGTAAATCATCAGGGCGCAAGTCATAGACACTGATAATTTGCACAATCCCAATGGTAAGTTTTAAAGATCTGACACTCATAACCAAAGTTTTATTATGCCCAGTGTGTTTTAGCACACGCTCAATAGATGATATAGTGTCAGAGTGGTCCTACGAAAGTCTCGCAGAGATATCGTAGCAAGGTAACTCTGTTTCTAAGGGATTTAGGGTGTGTGGGGCGGGTCGAAGGTCCTCTTGAATGTGGCAGCGTCAAATTCCCCTTCCTATTTCCTCTTTCCTGTACACTAAAATATGTCACTACAAAGCTCAAGCAGCCAGCTTCAGACCTCCTTGTCAAATACTCTGAATCGCTTTCTTCTACTTGGTTGCTTTTAATGGTGAAACGCATGTGCATGCAAACACTTCTGATTGCAATTGTGATTCTCTTTCTCCTCTGTTTCATGATTGTTCCCTTTTTTTCCCTAACCACCACACTTCTCAACTTTCACCTTTTCTATTTCTTCTCTTTCAGTCTTGGTTCTTGTAATGGGCAAAGAAGGGGTCCATGGAGGCGGATTGAATAAGAAGGCATACTCAATGGCAAAATACTTGAGGGATTCAGGGTTCTAATGTAATTAAGCTTGTTTAGTTTCACTTGAGGGACAGAAAGAAGAAAGAAGTTTGCTGTTAAGCTTTCTCCTTCAAGCAGTTAATGTCTTGAAAAATCTTAATAGCAGTCAAGGGAAGAATGGTGATAATATCCTATAATGTCCCCGTGTCATCGGGGGGAAAGACTTTTTTTTTTCTTTTCAGTTTTGTTCATTTGTCGTCTTCTTTCTTTCCTTATGCACTCCAGTGTTGGTTATAGTCATGGGAAAGGAAGGTACCCACGGAGGATCGCTCAACAAGAAAGCATTTGGCATGTCTGAGTACCTGAGGAAAGTTGGATACTAAAGCAGCCCCTTCCCATCCATCCACACAGCAGCTCACTTTAATACACCGCACCACACTACCCATCCACCCACCCCTACCCTCATCCTCGCCCCCTTTTTGTCAACTTGACAACACTACCAGAAACAGTTAGATGCATCGTTGTCTCTCTCCAAATCTATCTGTCCGTTTTTATTTTATGAAGTTTTCCTTGTGTTTAATGCTCCATGTCCTTTAGTTTTGACATCTTTTTTTGTGCCACAGTGAATCAAGCATGTTGGTTTTATGAAGGTTCAATCACAAACACTACTGTACATAACCATAGATGTAAAATGAAGAATTTTTAAAACAATTGGACGACCCAGAATTTGTGTAAATTCACAAGTAAATTAAAGTCACTACATGGTCCAATTTCTTTCCTTAGGCACTGCTAATGAACCAGCTTAAGATAGATTGATGCCTCTCGAGTGCTTCGAGCCCTTGCTGAGCTCTCATGGTCTTCCTTGTATACAGCATGTCCAGGATGGAAAAAAGTGCATGCATATCTTTTAGGTCAATATCATCGTTTTCCAGTAACTAACTACACCACCTTGTCTCAGCTTTGAGAATGAAGTTAACCAGTCACGTAACACTTCTTATTTCTTCTTTTCCTTATTATTGTTTTCATTTTCTTTGCTCGGTTTGATCCTGAATGAATTTAGTAAGCACCTCTGCCCCTGCCCTCGTGAACTGCACCACCTTCGCCCCAGCTACTATTATATGCCCTGTACCTTCTTTAGTTTGAGAACCTTATATCAAATGCTTTTGCTGTAGTATTTGGATGTGGTCTTGTAAGTCATTGGTCGAATGTTGGAATATTTTGAGTGTGGTGGCAGATCAGCATTTACAAGGTTTGGGTTAAGTTGTTCCCCAAGAGTCTTTGCATCCCGGACTCTGTATGGACATTCCATCACTACAATAGCTCAGGCACTTAGAACTGTTGTTTGCCAGCTCCTGTAAAATGTTTTCCTTTTTGTTTGTCCTTTGTTTTTGTTTTCTTTCTTTCTTTTTTTTTTTAAGACAAAAGTGCTGCCATCCCTATGTACCTCTGCTTCTGTCCGTTTCACTTTGGGTTCTCTAATAGAACCAAGTTTTTGTTGCATCCAGTGGGATTAACAGAATTGCTCCAAACTGTTGTTGTTAAAGTTGACTGCTAGCTTCATCTGTTGCTGACTTTATAACTAAATTCTCAACACTTCAAATACAGATTGTTACACCAAACTCATTCTGTTAAACACTATTACTGGCGTAACATTTTGAAATAAAAAATCAAATATATAACTAGTTCCTCTCATGAATGTCTTGAATAGATGAAACGGCAGTCTTATTGTTAACATGTCACCTCAAAATTCTTAAACATTTTTGACTTTTAATGTTATTTTCAAGAATGAAACCATTTGGAAGTCATTGCCTTGTAAACTACTTAACTGCGATGTATCAAACTGTCATAGCACGGTACAAATGCTTCATTAAATAGACAAAAAAAAAAAAAAGATACTAAAGTCAACTGTGTACACTAACTTTTTCTGGGATATGGTGGTATTAGTTGGAAAAAGACCACTAGTTGAAGTCAGTTGTATTGTGGAAACTTGTTAAATAAAGCTGTGTATCCTGTGCCATAATGTAGATCTGATCTGTTGCTACTGTGAGATGGATTTTAACTGCTGCCTTGTGAAGAGTCAATTCTTCATTGGCACCTTTGGGATATTTGGCATCAATTCAACCTCCAGGGCGTGTGGAAAATGTACAGATTAAAGAAAAGCATCAAATTATGTCCAGTTCTCTCCCTTCTTACACCGGACCAGCTGATATTCAACTCTATTTGCGTGGAAGGAAAGGAAAAAAAACAAATGCCATGATTTAACCACCTTGTTTACAGACAAATCAAATAAACCTATTCCAACCAGAAAATTGTTCACTCGTTTGTCTTCAAGCATCTTTCTATCAATTTGTAGAAATTGAAGTCAACAGACGACAGTCTAGGGCATGGTAGGTCGCAGAAAATTAGTTTTCCTAAGCATTGTTGTGTTTAGTTTGTGAACTTACTGATATTAAAAGAATATCTTTTTGCTTACACTGCTCTAAACCTCATTAATTTGTAATTGACATGGGTAATCCTGAAGGGGACGCTATAATCACAAACATTAAAGTGTTGTACATCTCAGATGACTTGATTTAATTTTATTGCCGGTAAAATTAGCTTATATAATGTGAAGATTTTTCACATTTCACAATGAGAATTTGCCACTTGTGGATGCCATTTATGATGGCCTGACAAACAGTTGCGTGTATGTGTGTATTTGTACTTGTTTATGCTACATTGTGGGGACCAAATGTCCCCACAAGGATAGTAAAACCTGAAATGTTTGACATTGTGGGGACTGGCCTGCGGTCCACACGAGGGGGGAAAAAAATCTGAAAGTGTAACAATGCAAACAGGTTTTCTGTAAGGGGTAGGTTTATTAGGGGTTAGGCCGGGGATAGAAAATATCGTTTGGTCAGTATAAAAGTAATAGAAGTCTATGCAAAGTCCCCACAATTCACAGAAACAAACACACACAAGTATTCCTGTCATTATAGTGACATTCCATAGGGGTAACAAACTATATTATCTCTCCCTACACTAACCCTACTCCTAAACATACCCTACGAAAAGTCTGTTTTCTCATAAAAAATATTACAAATCTCCCACAAGGATTTCAGATATTGCCATTTTTGTGGGGACATTTTGTCCCAAATATAGGGTTTCCCTGAACCACTCACTGACACACATTTACAAAATAGTGGTTATCATCGAAGATAAATCACTTGTGTAAAAAAAAAAAATTACATTTGGCTAACCCTAAATTGCAAACAAGTTCTTTAAAAATTATATCTATTGAATCTATATAGATGTACCAAACGATTGACTGATTAACCATTAAAATGAGTTAGATTAAATAATAGACAAATGTATTAAACTGAATGAGAAGATATGCAAATAAAAAGTTTGATAGAGCTCTATGAAAGGTAGTTACTATGAATGAAACATTTATATAGATGAAACACTTATTTTGTGTCGTGAAAAGAGTACTTTGTGTGTATTGTACTAAGACAATTGAAAATTAAAATGTTTGAAAAAAGTGCATTTTTGATGATCTGTTGTGATAGTACTAAGAGTTTTGAAAATGTAACGGTTGCTTGTGAAAATGGTACCAAAGCGAATTTTTAAAAAAAAACTAGTCACACCAGAGGTGTTCAGCTGGGATTAGGACTTTGCTTTCTGCAGACCAGTCAAGTTCTTCCACCCTGACTGAATCATTCATTTCTTTTTGAACCTTGCCTTATACACAGAGGCATTGTCATGTTAGAATAGAAAAGGGTCCTGTCCAAACTGTTGCTATAAAATTAGAAGCACACAATTCCCTCATTATATACTTAAACATTAAGATTTGTACTCGTGGAAATGACTAAAATAGTCAAACCTGTTCATTAGAAGGGGGTGTCCCAATACTTTTGTCTATATATACACTAGTCAACATTTGAAGTGGATCAAAACCTTTCATCAAAGTTGCCCTAAAACCTAAAACCAAAATGCGTTCTTGTCTTAGGACAATTTGATGAACTTTTTTGATCCACTTCAAATGTTGAGCCAAATGCTGTGGGGTAAATTGAGTCAGCATTTTAACTTAATAATAATAATACATTTTATTTAAGGCGCCTTTCAAATCACTCAAGGTCACCGTACATCATGAACAATAAATAAAACAGCAATAAATAACAATAAATAGCAATATCAATGAACCATAAAAAGAAAAACTTACCCCATCATAAGGCACTGTAGTTAAGCTAAATCTCTGAATTATAAACTGGTATTTTAATGTGATATATTACTGGTTTAGTTTATCATATATACATATTTTGTAGTTTATTTGATAGGGACAGTGTACAAGTGCACCAAATCCTTCTCTGATAAGAACCAGAAAATGCTTTTCATTGCATTATAATCAGATATATATATTGACATTTAAACTTCATTTGGTTGGTTTTATGTTGTTAAAGTTAACTTCATGAAAAGAAATATGACTGTTTGTAAAATGAAATTATTAAATTCGTTTTTTTAATTATTATGTATTTCACATGGGTTTGAATCAGATTTGGTCAGATGGTCATTTTACACCCAGATGGTGCATCTTACCCACTGACTCGACTCGGGTCAACTTACCCCTAACCCGGGGACAACTGAGCCATGGGAACACTTTTATTATAAGAAGCCATATTTTTAGAACCCTTTGTCATAGATACATTCTGATCACTTAAAATTATAGGAATAGCCTACTTTCATTAGGATAGGATAGGATAGGATAGATACTTTCATTTTTCATCACATTATAATCAGATATATCTTTCCACCTGTAGTCACTAATGGCCAACAAACTCTGTTTAGTCTGTTTTTAGGAAGGCTACAACTTTGGTGTTCAACATATTGTTTCAGAAATGCAAACAATTAAATATTGAAATTTAATCTTCATTTGGTTGGTTTTATGTTGTTAAAGTTAACTTCATGAAAAGAAATATGACTGTTTGTAAAATGAAATTATTAAATTCGTTTTTTTAATTATTATGTATTTCACATGGGTTTGAATCAGATTTGGTCAGATGGTCATTTTACACCCAGATGGTGCATCTTACCCACTGACTCGACTCGGGTCAACTTACCCCTAACCCGGGGCAAACTGAGCCATAAGAACACTTTTATTATAAGAAGCCATATTTTTAGAACCCTTTGTCATAGATACATTCTGATCATTTAAAATGATAGGAATACTTTCATTAGGATAGGATAGATACTTTCATTGTAGGACCACATGAGTAAAAAATGGACCTATTTTACACCCACTCTCCCCTATAAGTATTAGACTTTTAATTTAATATTTTACAGCATAAATCTATATTATATACTAATAAACAACTCATTTAGAACATTTATATATATTTTTTTTACTATTTATAGGCCTACTATTAATATGGTTTTAATAAAATATGATGTGTTATAGATTACTAGTATCAAGACAAGTGATTATAATGGGAAACACACTTAATTACAAGAATTAAAGTGTGACAAACTGCTAAATATTCTATATGATGATTTACCTGCTGGCTTGCTGGATCTTTGAATTCATGTTTGCAATGTTGAACTGACTTTAGCAGCCTCCCTTCGCTCTTTCTCTCTCTCTCTCTGTCTTCTTTTTGTGAAGGCATTTTTTATTTTTATTTTTGTCTACAAAGTGTGCCAACAACAGCGAATTTTGTGTTATTTATATTAGATCTGATCGGGTATAATAATTTGATAAGACATTCTAATTCTAAGAACTTGGATATTTTGTTCAAGTTGTTAGTACTTTTAGAAGACCGAGAGCAAATTATTATCGACAGAAACACAAAAACAAACTACCAAACTAAATTATAGTGAATTCTAGATCATACGTACCATCAGCGATCATCAGTAATACTGAAATCAATGCAGATTTACATAAATAATGCTGCATCTTCCAATAGCCTATGCGAAATTAAACAAAACGATAATGTCTACTAGCTGCAAATTATCGCAGATATTACTGCTGACGGACGCTTCTGTTAGCGCAATGCGGCAGACTAAACACTTCATTTCACTTTCATTTTTACTTTCACTTCTAAATTCGGGTCGAGTCAGATGATTAACGGAACGTAGGCGCATAAGCAGTACAAACACTTCAGCACAATAACTTAACTGTTTAATCATTCTGAAGTTGATCATCCGAGAGAAAATAACCAAAACCTTGCAGGAATGTCGCAATAAATAGTAATCAACAAACTACTATTCCCATAATGCTTTACTGGGATAGTAAGTAACGTTCAGAGTTATGAGAGAACTAGTTTGCAATGTTGAACTGTCTTTAGCAGCCTCCCTTCGCTCTTTCTCTCTCTGTCTCTGTCTTTTTTTGCGAAGGCATTTTTTTCCCGTCTACATACAAAGTGCGCCAACAACAGCGAATTATTAGTGTTATTTATATTAGATCTGATCGGGTACAATAATTTGATTAGACATTCTAATTCTAAGATATTTCACTTTTAAAAGACCGAGAGCAAATCATTACCGACAGAAATACAAAAACAAACTACCAAATTACTAATTCAGCGAATCATCCACTGACTGTAATGTGGATTGTAATGCATCCACCTGTTAATGCTACGACATTGCTTGGGAACTGTGGCCTCCACTCCAGAGAGCGGCACACAGATCGTGAGTGATGCTGCGGAGCGGGCGGGAAAACACGGAGCGGATTAGCGGAATCAGCGGAGCGGGAACAGACCGCTTTGAGCTGGGGTGATGATGGGGGGATTGGTGAGAGGAGCAACTCAGCGGATGAGGGCAAAGGGGCAGTGGCTCTAGCCACCGGGCCACCCCCCTGTGCACAGCCCTGGTATATATACATGCACACAAAAAAACATAAGTGGCTCATGATTTTATGAAGTTTTTGATATGCCCACATACTCATTGCACACATCCCTTCCTTTCCTCACTAGGCTGTTTAAACAGGTGCTTCGGATTTTCCAGACGTGCGCTAATTGTAGACGTTGGATCTTATATATTTCAGGTGCTTGAAATGAGCCGGGTTTTTGCGACACACTACAGTGGTGTGGTGCGTATGCAAAACGGTCTTGTCGAATGGCGTTGAAAGAGAAACTATTCCTGACGTGTTTTATTTTCATTTGGCTTAGCTTTATTGAAGTTCGTGGTTTTGTGGTATTCAATGAGGGAAAAGGTCTTGATTCAGTGGGCTCTTTTAACAAAAATGCACGGACAAGCGAGTCATTTGATCGAGGGGACGAGAAGCCGAAATCTGGAGCACAGGTTGGGCGCCTTCTTATTTGGCAAGACCACGCTTCAG